CACAGACACGATCATGCAGATAATTGCTGAGGCCACCATTCCAGCTGCTGGGGCCATTGGCTTAAACCATTACATGGTAGACGACCTTGATGATGAGGACATGGATGACCTGGATTCTGAATCTGAGCTCGATGTTGATAGCAGTGGGGAGATAGTCTATGCAATGTAATACCAAGAAGACAGCTTCTCTGCAATGGTGCAGCTGTTTTGCACGTATCAAACTATGAAGACCTAGCTGCAGGGAGTTTATGGTAGGAGTGCCTGGTAAAGGATCGGAGAGAAAGACTGTAGTGAAGTGCATACTTCACAATGCTGGTCTGAATTGTCATGGTCCATTGTGTCCATATATGTTCATAGCATGAAAGCTTTCTACAAATCTGTGGAAGAAATTGATATTTAATTCTACTTTACATGGGGAATCACTGAAAAAAAAAGGATTCTATATCGAATGATCATCTCCCCAACTTCCACATCCCGTTCCAGTAGAACTCCTGTTCATTTGTATTTTGGCACTGGTCTTGTACTTTTTGCTTGGTTCTGTTTTCGCAGTTGAATATATATAATATATATGTTTACGTTGTGTAACATGTATCTTTCAAGTTTTTACGTAGATTTGGTTTCTTGGTAGTATTATGTAACTACCACAAGTTGAGAAAGAAAAAAATTAATTGTCCATATTGAAACTCATTTAGTATTCCAAATTATTGTTCATTTTCTGTCAAAGTTGTCGAAAGGGGTTTTCCTTTTAAATATATTCTACAATTAATTTTTTTTAATTATAAAAATAAATTTGTTTGGTGGGAGTGTCTTCTAACCTAACCACTAAATTTCAATGAGTGGTGATAAATACATAAAGGAGACTAACATATATGAAAAGAAAGGGAGCCCCAGCACCGCATGAGAACAAAGAAATCTTAAAAACAAGTCCGAAGCCAGTTCAAGTTGATGTCTTCTTCATGAACTGTTACCCTTAGATTGCTGAGACAGGATTTGAAACAATCCCATTGATAGGCAGTCTCCTCATCGCATATGACATCCTTCAAACGTTGAAGCTTTGTGATTGTTGAAGGTAGGTTACAACTGGAGCACCCCCTCATATAGAGCTTCCTTAGATTGTGCAGTTCCCCGATCTGGACCGGCATGTTGATGATGCTTAGGCAGTCAGAAATGTCAAAAATATTAAGCTGGGATAAGCTCCCAATGGTCTCGGGCAACGTCATGAGATCGGTACAGGACGATAGCCTTAGCATTTCTAAGTTTACCAGCTTTCCAATGCCTTCAGGCAGTACACAAAGCTTGTGGCAGTTAGTAATACTAAGCTTCATCAGATGAACTAGATCACACAACCCATCAGTCAGTTCCACCAGATCATCACAATAGTCAATGTCAATTTCCAAAAGATTTGGAAAAATATCTGACATCTTCTTAGTGCCATTCCCAAAAGCCTGACTGACATTACACATGCGTAAAGATATTTTTCGCAAATTCTTTAGGTGTAAAGAGCTCATGCTGACAGAAGGAACTGACACCTTCTCTAACCTAATTCTCCTTAGATTCGGTAAAGAACACAGAAGCAGAAAGTTACTTAATTCAGCTGGGTAGAAACTGCTGTTCGTGACTATCAAAACCTTCAATTTATCCATTATCTCCATGAAGACAGGCAAGGTGTAGTTCTTTGTCCGAAAATTAAGAACTAAAACCTCAACTTCTGGTGCTTGAATGTTACCCCAACTGAATGTGAATGTTTCATCTGTGATGAGGGAAAAAATGGCATGAGAACTTAAGGTAGAAGAAGAAAATTTCTTATTGTGTGTGGATGTGTCTGAAGGTAGAGATAACAACCTGTGGAGATAGACAAGAGGCGGGCACCAAGAGTTTGCTGCTTTTCTTCCAACCACCAATTGGGAAAATTGTTGCGGCTTAGTTCTACAATTAACCTCTTTCTTTTTTCCTCAGAGACCAAGCTGCTCTGATAGATAGCCAGCTCTCTGAGAAGATCATGTTGCGTGACAAAGTGCTCATTGTAGTAGCCATCAGCTTCACTTGCATCTTTCCTGGTGAATAAGCAACAAGAAATCTGTTTAGTAGAGATTCAAACATGCACCATAAACAATAATTTAGTGCCTATCTGATAAGGGAAGCAAGGTTGAAGATCTGTCCTGTTTGATTTACATTCAGATTAATGGAAGTATAGGCTACAACAGGAGAAACCCTATAATATGGATAGATTGAAGAGAATAAAGTGAGAATGGAAGGACATGGATGCTAAAGTTACAGTAGATAGAAAGTAAGAACTGACTAGCATACCTCACGACTACAAGATTAACAAGATTCCTGGTAGAGAGTTCATGGAGGTTGACAATGGCATCATCATCTTCATCAAGTTCGTACTGCTCAACCCACATATCAATGAGGGCAGTAGCAGGAATCCAGTGATCTTCAGGGAATGAACCTAGGTCCAGGTAGCAGTCCCTTATTCCTGCCTTACTATCCAAGGCATCTAAACTGCTTTGAAGACAAGTAAGCAGCTCATTGCTAGAATTAAAGATGGATTCTCCTTTAGACTGCTGCTTCGCTCTACGTCGCCAGATTGTAACAGGTTGCCCACAAAGTGATCTACCAACCAGGTCTAGGGCCAGTGGGAGTCCCTTACAGCTTTTCATTACCTACAATTTGGTACACAACATCAAAGTCGTTTTTTGGAGGTTCAGGAAAACACTTTAATTAAACCGACCTTGGTAGACAAATATAAAGATTTGAACCTTTTGATCTTTAATCTAAATTACAGTGGCAAATCCACAGTGAAGTATGAGAGTGTTCAAAGTTTCATACAAGAGATGAAAGTTAGAACGAGTCTTCAGATTGATAAAAATACCTTACTCACGAGATCATCTGGAATGTAAGGATCCCCATTTTTCAAGAATGCAAAGTGACGAAACAGAGTCATAGCATCATCATCATTTAATGGTTGCAGACGATATGTAAAATCAAATCTTGGAAAGGTAAATCTTGATGTTACCAAGATCTTGTAATCTGGCAATGCAAACTTTAACTTGTCAACAAGGAACTCAGATCCAGACCAAACATCGTCCAGGATCAGTAATATGGGATTGGTTGCCATTTTCCTGAAGTTTTGTTCCAAGTGGTTCAGGGCATCCTCCTCATTCTGAAATTCAGGCACTCTATGATCCTTAAGCCGGAGTAATTTCTGCAAAATGACCTCCAGATTGGGTGCCTTTGAAACAGTCACATAGAAGATGTTTTCTTTAAACTTTCCTGTTCAAACATTGCATTAGAAATCTGCCAAAGTTTCAAAGATAATTTATAGCATTTTGCAAGTGACAAACATATTCCCCGATTTTAATGCATGAGAATTTGGTAAAATAGAATCCACAATTTCTCAATCACTTGACTCCGTAGAAAGGAAATTATTCCAATTACAATCAAAATGACTCATAAAATATCTTTACCAAATGCTTGAACAGTTATCTAGCTACTCTGCACTCGAAGTCTTAAATGGCAGAGTGTTTAATTCAATTGGATTTGACAAATAACGTCTTCCAAAGGATTCACAACTATTCCAAATGAATTTTCAGAAGAAACATTTTCTCCTACTCTCAAAATTTATTCAAATTAAGCTAGCCATTCCACTCTGGTTTTCCACTTGTGACATAACCAAATCAACAGATGTGCATCTAACAATCAAACCAGTCAAGAACCAGAAACTAAAAATCAAGCATAAACAAGCTAAGCACAGGAAATGATACCTTTGACTTCTTCATCCCGACATAGCTCTTGAACCAAGGTTGTCTTCCCGGATCCACCCTGAGCAGACACAACAATGACCGACACCCCATCTTTAAAAAGCTTCATCTTTAGCGCGGTCAAGGGCACATCCAATCCAACAACTTCCCCTCGAGGCTTAGGAGGTTCGCATGAACCCACAACTGCAACCTGACTAAACGTCCCATTCTGGCTACCGGACACCTCTTTGGAACTCAATCTTCTCACTTCCACACCAAGTTGTTCCATTTTATATAACGCTTCTTTGATGTCTCTTGTTTGCTGTGTTTGCATATTAATCAGACAGAAGCGCTCGAGCTTTTCCTTCAATCCACGAAGTTTGTATGTATAACAAGTCTTCTTGGGGAAGTTCCACCTATGGATTGTGAAGCACTTCCTGACAAGTTTCTCTCCTGTACAAATGATTTCCATGAGCGGTTTTATTTCGTGCTCCCTATCATGAAGTTTGTTGAATGATTCTATGGCTTTGATTGTTGGTTGTATGGATGATAGCGTGGATTCCAGTTCCTCCAAGACATCACGGAACTGGGTAGCTGTTTTACCCGCTTCTACAACGGCTTTAAGCAGCTCTCCAAAGCCTGCCCCTAAGGCCGCTTCTCCGACCAAAGCTGCTGCCATAAAAATCCTTATGGAAATCCCAAGAACCAAAATTGAAGAAATATTAATGTTTTCATCTGAACTTGGCAAGAATCCCCCAAAACAGAAAACCCCCAACAAAGGAATCCGCTTTTTTTTTTTTTAATTCCCCATATTAATTAATGAAGAAGCTCCTGCCTCCTGGAAATTTCCTTCAGGCACGGAAATCTTTACTTTAATTATAGTGAGACCTAAAGAGTGGGAAAGACACGAGAACGTTGACGTAAGTCTTATTAATAGTTGCCTCCCTTCTTACAAGCTCTTAAAATGGTCGTTTCGGTAAAGGTCTCCGACGACTTGGTCACAATCAGAAAAAGGACCAAGGCCTAGGCGTACGTCTTAAGATTTAGTGTGAAACAGTGAAACTACTTTTCCGACTACCATGTCCTAACCGCTAATAGTAATATGCGATGGACGAAAAGAACAGTACCTAAAAAAATAAAAATAAATAATTTTTAACTAAATGTAAATTAAAATGTATTTATAATTGATCTTAATGTAAACAATCTTTTGGATTGGGTTTTAACATTGAGCTAGTTGCTCGTGCTTTGGCCCAAATTCTTCTTGAATCAGGCTTCCATCTCTGTATGAAAGTCTTGATTTCAAATTTCACACTCAAATTATTAAATCATCACCATAGCCAAAACCACATTTTGCACGAAAATTTCTTAAAACAATGAAATCAATGAATTCCAGAATTTCCCATTCTCTATCTTTGTCTCACAAAAACAGAGCAATAATCTCTTCTTGGTTTTCTTCCCAAACCCAAATTCATAAACATTTCCCTCAGAAAACATTTTTCAAACCAAACACCAAAGACAATCTAGTAAACCAATTACATAATTTATGCAACCAGAAACGCTTAAAAGAAGCTATTCAAATCCTCAATCAAATCGAAAAACCCCCAGCTTCTCTCTACTCGACTCTTATCCAGCTTTGTTGCCAAAACAGAGCTCTTAACGAGGGCAAATCAGTTCACCAACATATAAAAATTTCTGGGTTTTTACCCGGGTTAGTTATTTGTAACCGTCTTTTGGATATGTACGCCAAGTGCGGGAGTTTAGTAGATGCCCAGAATGTTTTCGATGAAATGAGTGAAAAGGATTTGTGTTCTTGGAACACTTTGATATCTGGGTATGCTAAAATGGGAATGCTTAAAGAAGCAAACAAGTTGTTTGATGAAATGCCTGAAAGAGATAATTTCTCGTGGACCGCGATGATTTCGGGTTATGTCCGATTTGATAGGCCTAAAGAAGCTTTGGAGCTTTACAGAATGAAGGAAATGAGCATGGTTTCTAAGTTGGATAAATTTACTGTGTCTAGCGCGATAGCTGCTTCTGCTGCTATGGGGTGTTTAACTACAGGGAAGGAGATTCATGGTCGTATAATGCGAGCTGGGTTGGATTTAGATGAGGTTGTTTGGAGTGCTTTGATGGATATGTATGGGAAATGTGGGAGTATAGAGGAAGCAAGGCGGGTTTTTGATAAGATGGTGGATAGAGATATTGTGTCTTGGACTGCAATGATTGATAGGTATTTTGAGGATGGGAGGTGGGAAGAAGGGTTTGAATTGTTTTCGAAGTTGATGAAATCGGGGATAAGGCCTAATGAGTTTACGTTTGCTGGGGTTTTGAACGCGTGTGCTGATCATGCTGTGGAGGAAATAGGGAAGCAGGTTCATGGAAGCATGACAAGGCTTGGTTTTAATCCTTTTTCTTTTGCTGCTAGTGCTCTTGTTCACATGTACACCAAGTGTGGAAATGTTGAGAATGCCAAAAGGGTGTTTAATGGGATGCCCCTGCCTGATTTAGTTTCATGGACTTCTTTGATCACTGGATATGCTCAGAATGGTCAGCCTGAAGAGGCTTTGGAGTACTTCGAGTTGTTACTTAAATCAGGAACCAAACCTGATCACATTACTTTTGTTGGGGTTCTTTCTGCTTGTACACATGCTGGATTGGTTGATAAAGGGCTAGAATATTTCCACTCAATAAAGGACAGACATGGATTAACCCATACTGCTGATCATTATGCTTGTATAATTGATTTATTGGGCCGCTCTGGCCGATTTCAGGAAGCTGAGAATATCATCGATGAGATGCCTATGAAACCAGATAAGTTTTTGTGGGCTTCCTTACTTGGTGGTTGTAGAATTCATGGAAACCTTGAATTGGCAGAAAGAGCAGCTGAAGCATTGTTTGAGATAGAGCCTGAAAATCCAGCGACCTATGTTACTATGGCCAACATATATGCCACTGCTGGAAGGTGGGATGAAGTAGCAAAAATCAGAAAGAAAATGGATGACAAAGGAGTGGTAAAGCAACCAGGTTTGAGCTGGATTGAGATCAAGAGAGAGCTACACGTTTTCTTAGTGGGAGATACTTCTCACCCAAAATCTAAGGAAATACATGAGTTCTTAGGTAAACTTTCAAAGCGAATGAGGGAAGAAGGATATGTCCCTAACACCAATTTTGTGCTGCATGATGTGGAGGAGGAGCAGAAGGAGCAAAACCTTTCATACCACAGTGAGAAGTTAGCAGTTGCATTTGGAATTATTGCTACTCCTCCAGGAACACCAATCAAGGTTTTCAAGAATTTGAGAACATGTGTAGATTGCCATAATGCCATTAAATATATTTCAAAGATTGTTGACAGAAAAATAACTGTAAGGGATTCAAATCGGTTCCATTGCTTTGAGGATGGGAGCTGTTCTTGTAGAGACTATTGGTGATATAGGCAAAACCTTCATTAGACAATTTTCACCAGGCCTAAAATGCTGCAGCCTTTCAATGCAATTTTTGACTGTAGAAAGGCCATTGCTTATACAATAATAGAAAATAATAAGTTATGGCATATTGAAACTGATAAGATATTCCAGCATCAGGAACACAGTGTATCTTTACTAAGTACCTTGTTTGATCTGTGGATATACCTTCTAATGATAAATTTTGGTGGTAGTTTCATATTTTCCTGAGGGAACCCAAGTAAAAGTATTCTTTCTGGTATTCTGAACTGGTAGTAGGCATTTGCTCCACTTGGCTATCTTGTTGACAAACCTGTTATTGGGTTGATCAGTTGAATCCTCTAAATGTTCAAGTTAAATCTGAATGTTACTTCATTATTTTATGGAGCTGAAATTGTCCATACCACCAAGTTTTACTGTGGCAGTGTAGCTTCTATAATTTTGCTTGAGTGAAAAAGAGATATTTGAAGATGCCTTGTTCAGCTGCACCAGGAAACCTCCCCATCATTTTTGAAAATGCCATCAGTCCTTGATGCAGTTGCATACTTGCATTATTTCCATAATGTTTGGAATCACTGACGGGAGTAAGTTAACGTATTTCATAGATGGACATGAAATTAGTGGTCGCATCATGTGCCTGTAGAAAACCCCCATATAGCTCTCTAGCTGCAGCTGCAAAATCATCGTTCCTAACACCAGATGCCGTTGCTACCTCACCACAGCAAAATTCCTATAAGGAGCAAGTTGAAGATTTTGGTTGGCAAGCTCTGATGCTTCACTTGGTAACTTTTATAGGGAATATTGTGGCAAGAAAAGTATATTCATTTCAAGATGGAAATAACATCTCAAGTATTGACCTGGTAGAGTATTTGCTGGGTCTGTGGAGTCTTGTTTTCATCTGACAATTTGTAATTGCACCTGTGAACCTAGAAACAGTTTTGTAAGAGTCTGACTCGACGAGCTCTTTATGCATATTGCTGTCATGAAAGTAGAAGTTTAAGAGAAGCACGTACAATAAATTGCTCAAGAGGAAAGAAAAAGAATAAATAAAAGAAACAATACCATACTTTATACACCACATTATGTTGTTTACATCTGATCTCAGAAAGAAAAGCAAAACTATTTTAAATCTTTAATTTTACTTGGAAACCTAGTTGCTTACATTGAAATTAACCTGCATTCATGTACAGCATATCTTATTCACTTTTCTTCCTCGAATTTACACAAAATCTGTCTGTAATTCTTTGGTAACCCCATCTGGGAATTCTCATAAACGATCCCAGATAGAGAAAGATCCAATCAGGTAGAGACTGGACAATTTTGTTCAGTTCGCCAGCTGCAACCGAGACCTTATATCGACTTTGATTAAAAATCCTGCGGCTAGCATTTCTTTTATTTGGAATAACTCGATCCAATATCTCCGAACAAGTTCCTTCAGCTCAACCTGAATTAGCGTAATGTTACCATAATGATGAAGCTGCAAATTTATGGAGAAGAAGTTCCGAAGAGAAGCATCCAATCTCATGAGCTCTTTGATGTATTCGCGCTTCTTGCAGTAGTTCCACCAAGCCACCTTGGAGCACTTATCAACAGTCTCCATTGCTTGATTCAATTGCTCCAACAACCTGTGAAGTTCATCATATTGCAAGCCATTTGATTCTCTGAGTTGAAGTATCTAACTAATCTTCGGAAAGGAGGAGTCGATGGTGAATTTGAGATCAGTGAGACTGGATTCAAATCTAAAATTCATCTCTCTTTCGGGTTCAATGACTCTCAATAATTGTTGAATTGCAGTTCCTAGAGCTACCTCTAAAGCCATTTCTGTTGCCAATCGTAACTGCTTTTGCCATAGGAACCTGAATTTATAATGGGAATTGAAACCAATTTTAATTCCTGGAAATTTCTTTGCTGCCTCTCCAAATTTGCTGGACTGCGTCTGGGGAAACCTTTCTTGCAACCTAAAGAATCTAGAAGCCAAAGACGGGTCTGGGATACACAACTTTCTGACGTCTGGACTCTGGAGTTAAACGCGCGACCATTGTACCAAGGCTCCACCTTGCATATATCAGGCCTAAACAAATAATTATTTTTAACACATTCGTCTAGACCAACGCCAAAGCTTCTCCATTAAGGAAAAAATAATATAGACATGGTCAGATCTCCACCGAACATCACCTGAATGGTGTCATGAAACACCAAGCTCGGGGAAACAGGTGCATAGGCTACAGGCATCACAGGTACAGCTGATAACGTTACTTTGCTGTATAGCAACAATTCTTGGAGGTACACGAGTCGTAAATGAAAAGAAAAATGTTTTGGAAAACGAAAAATTATTGCATGAGTTCAAATAATTAATAAAACTATTTTGATTCTTTGCAAAAGCTGTCTCTCAGTTCTTTTCGGTCCTAAAATAACCTTCGCCAGTTGGCTGTGCTACTCCAAACCTGCTAATACTTATTTGATGTTTGACAAGGTTTGGGAGTATTTTTTTTTTTCTAATTAAAACACAATGTTGAATTACTCTATAGATCAATTTATTAATTTGGTTTCGGGTTTGGCCAATTAAAGGCAATTCAATTCTGACACCATGTAGGAATAGGAAGAAAGGGATTGATGGACTGATTTTGTTCAATCCATATGCATTTTTTCCCCTCTTTCTTTGACTTTTGCCATATTCTCCGTTGGCTTTAATTAGTGTTTGCAGAGCAGTGTGCCATGAAAGAAGGATGGGTCGAGAGACAAGGTTTTCACTAACAGACAAGCAATGAAAATGAGAGAGTAGTCTGTTGATAACTCTATTATATAGAGTTATCATAAGTATATTTGGAGCTTGAATTTTGTTAAGTCTTTTAGCTTTTTTTTTTTTGTTTTTGAGAAGTTTCTATTTTTCTTTTTAGAAATAGTGTAACTTATGTGATGTCAAGTTCCATTTATACAAGTTTAGCTTAATTTTTTGTCAAAATCTCTCAATTCAGCCTCTGATTATTTAATCCCTTAATGTTGAAGGACATGCAAAGACTTGGAGCATGAATGCAAGGGAGGGTGCAAGTGGACTTAAAAGCAATCAAACATGCTGAAATGTTTAGAGCATAAATTAAGCTATAGAAGTCTGATCGTGGTGAATCTTGAACCAATGGAAAGTCGAGAGGACGAGTTATAACTTTGATGTTTATCACTTGGGCCAAATCAAAACGAACATGACCAAAAATGAAGTTGAAATTGAGGTCCATAGTAGCTCTGCACTAGGTAGTTTGAAGGAGAAAGGAACAGAACCTCCAGCGCTGCAGCACCAAGTTTTCAACGCTGCAGCGCTGTCCAATGAAGCAAAGATGTCCAAGTCAGAGAGATTTTCATTGCAGCGAGATATTAGGCAATTAGGTCAGAAGGATTTTCGCTGCATCGAAATTTCATTCTCACTGCAGCGAAAATGAAGCTGTTGGCAATACCAATCAAGAACAAATTCGTTGAAGCGAAATTCCATTCTTGCTGCAGCAAGAACACGTCAGATAATGAATATTCTTGCACGGGTTTCTAAGGCAAGCTAGAAAAAGATGGGGTATAAATAGAAAGTTTTGCACTGAGAAAAAAAAGGATTTGAAGAGACGATTTTGGGCAAAAAGAGGCAAGAACAAAAAGGGAAAAAGGAGAGGAATCAAGAGTTGGAGGATCCAAAAGCTGCAACAGAACATTTTCTCACTCTAGATTTAATTCTCTTTCTCTAACTCATTTTGTAGAACAATGTTTTTTGTTTGCTGAAATGTGTATTTTCTTTTTGAACATGTTGAGCTAGAGTTTTTAATCAAGGATTATGGTGGATGTTATTGTGTAGTTAGAATACTTTGGATTCATTCTTTACTTGC